TAAGAAAGGACCAAGAGACCAAAGGTATACAAGTGGGAGTTAAACAGTATAAATTGAAAGCATTTGCTGATCTAGTATTGACCCTACAGGAACCAGAATCTAGCACAAAAAGGGTATTGGAACTGATTCAAGAATTTGGGCAAGTAGCAGGTTTTAAGCTGAATAAGATGAAAACTAAGGTTTTAGAGAAAAATTTAACTGTAAATGAGAGAGAGAAATTTCAGGAAGAGACAGGACTAACATTGGTTAAGAAAGTGAAATATTTAGGGGTTAATATGACTGCTAAAAATGTAAATTTATTTAAGGATAATTATGAAAAATGTTGGATTGAAGTGAAAAAAGACTTAGAAATATGGTCAAATTTGAAGTTATCATTGTTAGGCCGAATTGCTGTGATAAAAATGAATGTGCTGCCAAGGATGTTGTTCTTGTTTCAAACATTACAAATTTTGGATAAGATGGATTGTTTCAAGAAGTGGCAGAAAGATATTTCCAGATTTGTTTGGCAGGGCAAGAAGCCTCGAATAAAATTTAAGATATTAACTGATGCTAAAGAAAGAGGTGGATTTGCCCTGCCAGACCTAAAACTCTATTATGAATCAGCTGCTTTTTGTTGGCTGAGAGAATGGCTGCTACTTGAAAACACTGATGTGTTGGACCTAGAAGGTTTTAATAATGTATTTGGTTGGCATGCATATTTGTGGTACGATAAGGTAAAAGCACATAAAGCGTTTAAAAATCATATTGTCAGAAAAGCATTGTTTAATGTATGGATAAGATATAAAGATTTGTTAGAAAAGAAAACCCCAAGATGGTTGTCACCAATGGAAGCGAAGGCACAGAAAAAACTCAATATGGAGGCCAAATGGCCGAAATATTGGGAAATTCTGGAACAAGAGGGAGACAGACTAAAATTGCAGAGCTTTGAAAAATTGAAAAATAAAGTGCGAGATTGGCTCCATTATTATCAAATAATGGAGGCATATAATTTGGACAAAAAAGTTGGTTTCCAGGTGGAAAAATCAAAATTGGAAACAGAATTGTTAGACTCCAAAATCAAGAATTTGTCAAAAATGTATAACTTGCTGTTGAAATGGAACACTCAGGATGAAACGGTGAAATCAGCTATGATTAAATGGGCACAAGATGTTGGACATAATATAATGATGGCTGACTGGGAACAGTTATGGACCACAGGTATGAAATTTATGGCATGTAATGCCCTAAGAGAAAATTTAATGAAAATGATTTATAGGTGGTACATGACACCAGTCAAGCTTGCAAAAATTTATCATATGCCTGACAGTAAATGTTGGAAATGTAATGAGACTGAAGGCACATTCTTTCACCATTGGTGGACGTGCCCAAGGATTAAGACATTCTGGGAGATGATTTATAATGAAATGAAAAAGGTATTGAAATATACCTTCTTGAAGAAACCAGAGGCCTTTCTCCTAGGCATGGTCGGCCAAATGGTGCCAAAGAAGGATAGAACCTTTTTTATGTACGCAACAACAGCAGCCAGAATACTCATCGCTAAGTATTGGAAGACACAAGATTTGCCCACCTGGGAAGAATGGCAGATGAAGTTGATGGACTACATGGAACTGGCGGAAATGACTGGCAGAATCCGAGACCAGGGAGAGGAGTTGGTGGAAGAAGACTGGAAAAAGTTTAAAGATTATCTACAGAAATATTGTAAAATTAATGAATGTTAGAAAAATGTTGAAATGAAGTTATATGGCTTTAGTAGAAATATTATAAGGAATTAAGTACAGATAGGTTAATAGAGTATTAAAGGAAAAAAATAAGGTTAGAATGAGTTAAGATAATTATAGGACTGAAAACAGAGGAGGATGGAAAGGAATTGCTGAAATAATTAACAGAAGTGGAATACAAAAAGGGAGGTGTGAGGAGGTCATGGAAATAAGTGAATGAAAGAAGGGATAAAGAAATTGGTTGATTTATTTTATTGTCTTAATCTTGTTTTGTTAATTCGATGTGTTGTATTGTTTTTCTTTTTCTTTTTCTTTTTTTCCCTTCTTTTTTCTTTTAGTGTTTTTGGAAAAATAATAAATATTATTTTTTAAAAAAGAGATTTACACAGAACCAGCCACAACTGCACAGTCACAAGAGACCTCTCAAAGCCGGAGACAAATGTTCGGCCAAAAATGTCCAGAAAGAAGGACCCTATACAAATCAACATCTTATTTATTTAATAAATACGAACGAATCTTTATTGCTAAAAGCTATGAGCCATCACCATTGGTCACAAGGCGTAGAATACAAATAATTGATTTAAAACTGAACAACAGCAACAGCAAAGCAAACATACAAAAATGTAGAAAAAATCACTCTTGCCTAAGTTAAGCACTTCACATCTCACACTCCCCCTTATGATACTTGTCTTGGAGCCTAGCTGTCAACTTAACTTGCAGCCAAGGCAAATTTTTGCAACCAGTGCAGTAATAAATACATTACTGCGGGCCAGCAAAATAGAGTTTTTAATAAATATATATATAGGAAGGGGGGAAAAAGGTATCATACATTATATCTCCCCAACCCAACCCAACCCAACCCAACCCAACCAATGTTTAGAAAGTAGTTTAAGATATTTTTTTCAGGCTTTACAGCCACAGAAAATAGTTATAAACAGTGATAAAAAATGAGGTGCCATTACTTATACAATACTTACTCATTACTTATGTGAGCTTTGGGTTCCACCACAAAATGGCTGCCATGGGCAGCTAAAAAGGTGCCAGTACATCATACTAGTAACTATTATCACAAAAAACCCTGCTTATAAAGTATTGTGTTGGGTTTGATTTTTTTTCATTCCAGAAACTTAGAAACCATGTTCATCTTTCAATAAAATTGTGTTTGTAAGGGTTTATTCCAGCTGGCATTTGTTAACTTAATTCAAATAACACGGCCATTCCCCCATATTTTCCTGAAACATTCTGAAATAGGAAAAAGTTTTTCCATTGGCGGCCAAGGCATAGCCTTGCGCATATTAGAAGGCATATTGACTAAATAAATGTATGTCCACTTTTTCTACTTCTGTATGGATTACTTGCAAAAAAAAAAGAAAAGTTTTGGGATTTCTTGATCATCTGTGTCCTATGATTTCCTTTGTGTTTTGCAACACCTTGCTCCAGAAATGTTTTATCCTGACACAAAACCTGAAAATGTGTACCAAGTCCACTTTAATTGCTTCGCATCTCCAGCATCTTAACTTAGTTTTCTAAATTACACCCACAAGGTGTTAAACGCCGCTGATACATGTATTTGAAAAAAGTTTTCCTCTTTACACACTAGTTATTGAAATAATTTATACTCTGCCCTTCCACAAAAGGTCTGACCTTCTAAGGATCTAATTTCATATTTACCAGAAGATTATAAAAAGTAACTGTGCAGTCCTGGGACAATTAGTGCAAATGTTTAAAGCAGTTGGCGACTGGACTTCACCCTGTTGATTCACAGGACTTTTGCCTGCAGGGCAAGGCCTGGTTCACAGATGTCAGGGTTAAGCAAACGTCTCATAGACTTTTATTGGCACCAATTTAACCTCACATCTTCAGAGGCAAAGTTGGATTTGGAACATATTTGATATAGCCTTTGAAGTCAAAAAAGGTACAGATGTTCCACATATGATAAGCACCTACAGATCCTTAGGAATTCTGTTTTTTACGCGTGCAAATGGGTAAAGAGACTAGAACTGAGGCATCTGATCAAAATCTGCTTTGAGCTTAAAAAATTATAT